TTTTGGGGCTGGGGATTTAGCTCAGCGGCAAAAGCGCCTGCCTGGCAAGCGCAAGGTCGTGAGTTCGGTTCCCGGTGCCGGAGAAAAACAAAAAAAAAAAAAAAAATTATCTCCATTTTATGTATGACGATACCAAGAGAACAAGTAATTTTACCACCTAGGGAAGGTTGGATCCAGGAGTTGCCACACTGAATTTCTCTTTCCTTTATAAACTCAATGGGCACAGGTGGGTCCCAGTCACAGTGGTAGATCATGGGCAGGGGAATAAAGAGGGGACATGATGATCAATGAAAGCCAGATTCATGGAGTTCATCATCTCACTACACAAATAAAACTATTTTAAGTAAAAATCAAACTATTAAAAGTTTCATGATTGCAGTAAGATTACATAACAGAGATTTAACCAAGTCAATAAAATCGTGAAAGCCTGTCCTGAATTTCAAAAGGTAAGAGTTAAAAGTGACTGAAGCTGGTGGGGACAGGCACATGGGGACAGTACCAGTGGAGAAAATCACATGGGTGAGGAATCTGAACTTAAATCTTTTGACTCTCTGTAGAATAGCTCCTTTCCTCCCCTCACTGTGGAATATTCCTTTGTATTTCCTTCTAGAGATTACACACATTTAAAATGATTGGTGGTTGACTTTTCATTCTCTACAGCAGCCAGCACATGGCCATAGTAGGAGTGCAATGTGTATTTAATTCAATTAAACAGGGAGAATTTAATTGAATCCGTAATAAATAGGTTTACACTTTCTACTACTACTTTACTTCAAAGATGCTAAAATAAAGTGCTGTAGATGAGAAAGCAGGAGAATATCAGGTTAAGTACACATTTTCTCTCCTAAAGCTCATTGTCCCACCCCCATTTCAACCTGAATTTTCCTTAGACATCAGCCTGAGATTCTGTGAGCTGCCTCTGAGAAATGACTCTGGGATAAAAGAAAGTTTTGAGGCAATTATTCTCTATAACACAGTGCCATTTACATTGTGATTTAATAGTCTGGAAAGTATTTACACACATGTTGTCTCATTTGGTCCTTCTCACACAGACCATTTGCCCTCCACTTTGCTGGTGGTACAGAGGGGTTAACTCAAATCTTTAGAAGCACAAGTACGGAGAGCTGAAGAAGAGCTGGAACTAAAGAGCTCATCACTCCCCATCCAGTGAGCAGACTCTACAGAGTAGGTCTAGGCAGTGCCTTAAGATCTCTGGGTGCCGAGATTTGGTTTCCAGGGTCATTCCTGCCTTGCTTTAGGCAAAGCATTTGTCTGCAAGAGCTGTCATAGCAGAATCCCACAGCTGGGCGGCTTAAACAACAGCAATGCATTGTTTCACAGCTTTGGAAGCTGGAAGGTCTAGCTCAAGGATCCAGCCGGGCTGGTTTCTAGTGAGACTTCCCAGCCTGGCGTACAGAAGGCCGACCTCCCACTGTGTCCTCAATGCCTGTGTTCTGTGTTCTCCCAGTTCTGCTATCTCTTCTTCTCCTTCTATGGACATTAGTCCTGTTGGATTCATGCATCACTTATGACCTCACTTAACCTGAATTACCTCTTAAGGGCCCTACCTGCAAATATTTCCTAGGCTAGAGCTTCCGTATATGAATTTGGAGGTGGGGCTCACAGGTCATTCCATAACAGACAAGCTGCTAAACTCCTCTGCCTCTATTCCCTTTTCTTTTAAGACTAAAGTAGTGCCTACATCTGTGAGAGCTAAATAAGGTGATAGATGTGAAGCATCGGGATGAAAGCTGTGCCTGGGGTGCAGGCACTCTACAGGTACTGGCTAACTTTTCACTGCTCGATGATTCTCGAAGTATTGGACCAGATAATATACTGCTCTCCCTATGTTCACTAAACAAATGAACAAACCCAGAAAAACCAATTTCTCAAAAACTATATGCTGAATTATTCTGGATTTTCTTTTTTGTTGTCATAAATGTGGACATTGCCTTTGATTTTTCGCTGCTTCTCTGTCCCCCTTTTTAGCCAATATGCCCCAGTGGTACTGAGACAATAATTAGTGTGTGATTTCTCCAATGCTAGAACTTTCTCTATGTGTCATATAACTAAATCCAACATTCTAGCCAATGTTGACCATTTTCAACTAAGCAACATTGGGAGTATGAGGTCAAAGTGTCAAGAACATCAATGACTCTGGCCAAGAGTAGAGAAGACAAGGAAGAAAAAATAATGTACACAAAAATAATGGTGTTTTACCAAAGTTATGAGTCTATAAGGGTAGTGCAGGAAACTGAGAGATGTAAATTATTATGACATTATTGATAAACTTCTAAGTACTTCATCTTAACTAGAATTCACCGTTTTTAGATTGCAATACACCCATTTTTTCCAGTATCTCTTTGGAGTATTTTTTAAGGCAAACTCAGAAGTGTAAATTTTGTGTACTAAATTCCTCCGTAAGAGAAGTCACAGGACTGGCCTGAACTTGAAGTGATCTTTACGCTGTGTTTAAGTCCCAAGGGTTGAAGTGATTATAGAAAGAGGCTGGTAAAAGATAAACAAGGTAACCCACCTCATCCGAATATGGCATTTCCAGACTCAGAAGCTACAAGGCTTAGGAAATTTTTAAAAAGTCTAGTTCCCACTTCCACTTATCTACCCAGGTCAAAAGAAGCTCTTCTGTGTAACTTAACTTCTGAAATGCTCCAGTGATTATTTGGAAACCTACTCTGAAAGATTTCAAAGACTGATTTGATTAATTCTTTTTATAGAGAGATAAACTCTGTTCAGCAAGACATAAATATAGAAAGTTCAGATTTGCTAGGCAGACATTTTGGTTTATTCACATTACAAACAAGTTATTTAATTAAAATAGAAGCTTCCTGGTACATTTCAGCATGTGCTAGATTATTAACAGCTTGGGAGAGGACTAAGAATCAGACTACAGTGGAAGATGCTATTTCCAGGTAAAGACAGTGTTTCTGCAGGAAGGAGACACAGAGACATCCTCAGAGACTCCGAAGTTTCCTCAGAGGGAAAAATAAGTTCCCTTTACAGAAAGAGATCGGGAACAGTGTGTGGTGCACTTGAGACATGGAGCCTTATGTCAAATAGCATTTGTTGCACCCTCGCTGTAGGCCAGACCTTGGGCCCAGTGCATTCAGTATTTTCTCATTTAATCCTTCAAACCTCCATGAAAAGTGATACCATTATCTCCTCTTGCCGGGTAAAGAAAATTGAGCTCAGAGAGTTGCAAGGCAGTTTAGGGCTGAGATTTGGGCTCAGATCTCAACCCCATGCCCTTTCCATGTTAGACATCACAATGAAACCTGAGAAGCTGGTGAGGTTACCACTTCGTACTGGCATGTTCTTTTGCTTTTTCCTTTTTAAAAAGTCGAGTGATTTGACAGGGTCCTCCGCACAATGGTAAATGTCAGTGACACTAAGTTACTGTCACTTCCCTACTGTAAGAAAAATGGTTGTCTAATTGTCGTAGCTTTTATTTTGCCTGGTTTATGCCATACAGACCTATGAGTTTTGGACTGGAAACTAGGACACCTAGAACGCAGTCCTGGCTCATTCCCTCACTGACATATGAGTTTAGGTAAATTGTGTCACCTTCCCAGGCCCCATCTCCTCACCCATTGAATGATGCAGGCTTACACGGTAAATCCTGGGCATTTTTCTGTCATTCACATTCTGAAAGCTTTGTCAGTACACATGAGTTAGACCTCAATGGAGCACCAGCTCAGCTCAACATCACCAATATGAGGTGTTCTTACTCAGCAATAATCTCTTGCTTTCTTAAAGTCTTGGAGATCATTCTTCAAGAATCTTTACTTGAATTATAGTTAAAATTATGAGACTTCCCCTCACCTGTCACCTGGATCAGGCTTACATGTCAGCTGTATCTCCTAAAACATATAACAGGTAGTTCTTGAAAGGACCAGGATCCAAAAATGAGGGGTGGAGCTGTCCCTATAGCAGCAAGTCAACACAGGCAAATTTCATCCAATTTCAAATTTGGTTTAATGCTAGTCTGACCTTTTGTTGCAGTTCAGATTGCAGTATAGACATTTTTTCTTGACCAGCCATAATCTTGCTGCTATCCTTCTCCCTTAATGCATTAAATAAATGTTTATCTATAAGGATTGCTATACATACCCAAAAAAACCCTATATTCTTAACAGAGGTTGATTTATCAAGAATTTGATTGTCACTCATGGTCATGTGGTGCCAAGGTCATTTGATGACTTATTTGAACCATGGTTCTTCCTGGAGAAAATGAAAAGGCAGTCTCATGGAACATTCCCTTTCATCTGACTTAGTGGTTCTAATAAGCCTGAGAGCCATCTCTTATTAATGGAACCCCTGGAACTCAGGGTGCAGCAATTAAGTTGGAAAGTCACTTCCCTTGTGCAGCTGACCCCCCTGCAGGAATGTCACACATTGTCTAAGTGGTTTGAGAACACCTAAGGAGAAAATCACCCAATTAGTTCTTCAATTTAGCAGACAGGCAATGACCTTGGGGACAAGATGGCCACATATTTTATGCTAGTATATCTGCAGAATGCAACATATCCCATCAATGACCATGGCCTTCTCACATCAGCAGGGGAGACAGCATCATCTTCAGGGGGACCCTCCCACCTCCACCCCATGCCCCCACCCCTTCCTCTGGAATCACTCCAGTGGAGCAAATACACATGGTTACAACAGCCTTGGAGGTGAGGGTCAGTGTGAATTCTGTATCTTGTAGCCCGACCTAACTACTTCACACTACTTACTATTTTTAGTTATTGTCATGGTTATTCTCTAACATTCAAAAAAGTCATAATGTTAAAAGGTATATCCCATGAAATGGGTCTTCTTAAACAAACACCAGCACATAAATCATAAGTTCTTGGCAGAATGCAAGGCCGTGACAGACCCTGAGACTGGAACCACCACCTGTTTTGTACTTGTCTCTCCAGGCCACCCCTCAAGACAATGTCCAGGAAAAGGACCATCACCTGTAAAACCAGGTGCACACTTACTGTTGTCCTCAGCAAAACAATGTCCGCTTCTTGCAAAGAACATGGGACACAGTTTGCCCAGACGTGCCAAGCCGGTCTCCAGTACAACACCAAGGGGAGGATTCCAAAGGAGAAGATGGATCCAGCGAGACAGAGAGCTTTCCTGCAGCCTTGAGTCCGATAGCCAAATATTTCCTGAAACAGAATCACAATGATCCAGATATTGGTTAAGTCTAACAAACGAACAGACGCTGATTTTTAGCAATGAAGTGGGGAGGGGAGGAAAAGAGTTGGTGAGAGTGAGAAGAGATCATGATGAGAGGTGGAAACAGTTGCAGGATCCCAGACAGAAGTTTCAGATGTGATCCCAGACCTCTAAGGAAGTCTAGCCAGAAAAGTCAGTTCTACAACTTGAACAGTCAGCCATCCTGGGCCAAGCACTGCACTGGGTGTTCAGATATAAGGGCTTCTGGAAGTCTCCCAACCATCCCTGTCCTTAACATCCCCGAAGTGAAAGAATAGTACCCCCATTTCACAAACCATGGGACTGAGCTCAGAACGACTGAATGGAATGGAATCACTTGTCCAAGGCCACACAGCGAGAAGTTCTGCTGCTAAGATCCAAATCCAAGTCCATCAGCCACCAATCCTGGAATTTGATACAGAGCCATAATGCACATGGACACAAGCCTTTGGACAGGAAAGCTAGCTGATGACAGTGACAGAATGATTGCCTTGGCTAGGACCAGTGACAAGGGTAGGACAACCGGGCCTCAAGTTGGAGACAGGATTTGGTGAAAGAATTTGATCACAAGAAGAATAACAACCAACCTGCCTTTGGGTGTTTAGGCAGAGCTATGTGTTTCCACAATCCTCCCTTGTTCAGTAACAAAATGAATTTTATACAAAGAGACTATTTGGTTTACTTCACCTTCCATTGCTGAGCACCTGCTGCATGTTATGAGAAGAAATTTTATCATGGAGAATATAAGTTTGAACAAAATAGGAGTCTCACTTCTAACATACATATAATCCAGGCAAACTTCTTCCTTCCAAGAAAAGTCTGGGACAGAACAGAAAATGACCCCTAAAGATTATGGTTTCAGTCGTACCACTGCCTCCCAGAGAGTCACATACACTAGGTGAGGTTGGAAACTATGGTAGATGTTTACCTTTTTAAAATTACAGTAAAAGAACACATTGCTATGAATCCCTCTCCAAATATTCCCCCCTTGTTTCCAACACCCTTATTCAAGAACAAGTGACATTGTTCTTGTACAGTAAAAGAACACATTGCTATGAATCCCTCTCCAAATATTCCCCCCTTGTTTCCAACACCCTTATTCAAGAACAAGTGACATTGTTCTTGTCACTTTCTGAAACAATTCTAGATCTCCTCTTTCGTGAATGTCCTTGGTTGTGCTGTCGTAGTTGCCTCGATGTCCTGAAACAATGCAAAATGTTTACCTTTCATGATCACTTTGGTTTGGGGAGTCAGAAGTCACACAGTGCCTGCTGTCATGAGTAAGGTAGATGAGAATACGCTCATGTTTTCAGAAGCCTGCCTTTCCATTGGACAGCACTAGGCCACAGCATTCGGTGGATTTTGATTATACCTTGTAAAGACACTCATGAAAGAGGACTTCCAGAACTGCTTCACAAACTGGCGAGAACAATGGGAGAAGGATGTATGAAGTGAAGAGGAGTATTCTGAGGGGAAATGATGGCAACGTATCTTTCACAGTAATAAATTTTTAAATGTAAATATTCACTGCATATTTTGATCATGACTCCTACTTTATGCTAATTACAATAGCTAAAATTGAGAAGCCATAGACTGTCATACTTAAAAGACACATACTAGTTCTGTCAATGGGTGTGTGACTTTCAGTAAGACCTTCTTTGTTCCTCAGTTTGTCATCCATAAAATGGGAGTAGTGATGTCCCCACCTTGCTGGGCTGCTATGAGCTGTAAATGAATGGACATGTTCAAGTGTTGGCATTACAGCCAAGGATTCCTAGTGTGGATGGTTGTCCTCTTGCTAGGACCGCCTTTGAGGATAACAAGGGAGCTGCACGACAAACTTTACACCCTTCCACTTCTCTGTCTCGCCTGATAAACACTCCCTTTCCAGAAAGCTTCTGTGACCTGTGACCGAAGGCTGCCTTCATGTATGATTATTAGATTACTTCCTGTTCTTTAAAGCACCACAGGAGCCAAAAGGCATCCTGAGACACTGTCGCATCTGGTGTCACATGTATAAAATGTTCACATTGGGGCTGGGGATTTAGCTCACTGGCAAAGCACCTGCCTGGCAAGCGCAAGGTCGTGAGTTCGGCTCCCGGTACCGGAGAAAAACCAAAAAAAATAAAAATAAAATGTTCACATTAACTCAGAAATGCAAGCTCTGAATTTACTTTGCAAAGCTGAATGTGTACCCTGGCGTGAATGTCCCTCGGCCCCAAGTTCATGTGATCACTTTCCAGAGAGCAAGGCTAGAAGGGCTCTATGAATCCCACACTGGACAGGTCCAGATCCTAGTGTCCCCACCTGTCCTGCGTCCAGCCACCATCTGGCCACGGGTTTTTCTGTGTCTACACTCAAGCACAGATCCACCCCCCATCTCATCATTTTCTCATTCTTTTAAAATTATACATTTTGGGGGCTGGGGATTTAGCTCAGCAGCATAACATCTGCCTGGCAAGTGCAAGGTCATGAGTTTGATTCCCAGTACCGGAAAAAAACACCAAAAAAATAAAATTTTACATTTAACAGTTTCTTTATATTTCCATTCAGTTGAGTCCCATGTAGCCAGTCCAAGTCACGCTTTTCTGTTGCACATGTCTCTCTGTTAGCATGCATTCCTTATGGCCTGCGCAATGAGAAACTGCTATATCCAAATTATCTTCATGTTCATTATTAAGATAAGGGAGGCAAAAATTATTGCCTTCATTCTCCAGTTAGGAGAACTGAAGTTCAAAGTTATTACATATAATAATAGCTAGTGTTAGTAACTAATTATTACTGATAGCAATGCTAGCAGCTAACATTTATGGGGCATTTACAAGTCCTTTACCAAGCACTTTACACGTATTCTCCCAATTAGTTGAGAAAGATTTACTAAGTTTCCCAAAGTACAAAGTTCATAAGTAACTCAAAACAGAGCCTCCAGTAGGGACCCCTACATCACACAAAAGGTAATGGGGACTGGCCATTTCTAGTCTACAGCTCTTCTTTACCCTATTTCTAATTTCGGTTTAATTTACTACATGTGTATTAGTTGCCTGCCAAAGGTAGCCATGTGCTAGACTGGAGATAAATGAGACAATGTCTCTAGCTTTAAGGAGCCCATTAGTTTAAGAGAGAAGAGAGACACAAAGAGATAAAATTAAGCAGAGAGGAATGAATGGGTTACATAGAAAGGTAACCTTACAAATTCTCGTCTGAACGCAGTGCTATTAATAATAACACTGGAGTTACAAAAGAGCAGAGTACCCCAGCCAAGGCAAAGGAACCACTCCTTGTTAGAACACAGTGTCACTACCCTAAAAGCTCCCCAGCTCTCTGGCTGGTGGACACTACGAGTCCATTCAGTGGCTCCTGACCCAGAACATTGCAGAATTTTCTGCAGAAAGCATGAAAAATATGAGCAGGGAATGTTCAATTATTGCTTATTGAAGTGAGTTAAATTGTGCTGACTCAAAGTGAATTGCATTACAAGAACTATTAACAGATATTGAGCTTCAAATTGCAAAACTTAACTTAGTGCCATTATTATCAACTGGTAGCAATTTGCCGCCTATATTTCTCGAGTGTCCTCCTTGTCCCTGAATGCTTGAGAGAACTATCCCTGCTACCCTGGACCCAACCAACTCTTACATCCCACACATAGGGATCAATGAGCCAAAACAAGAACATGAGAAAAATATTAAAAGAATATTACACAAATAATTAAACTTGTGGAAGGCTATGTGCATTACAGAATAGCGAAGCGTCCCTTTATTCTTCTGCTGCGCACACATTCTTCTCTTCCCTCTGTCCCTGGGCACCCAGGTTCCTTGTATCCTTAAGTATGTCAACTTTGGCTTCCGGGTGTCCAGGCCTTCTCCCTGCAGGGCCACTGTGCTCAGAAACCAAACAGCGTCCCCTACAGCAACTGCTTAAGCATCCCAGGTCCCCAAAAGGTCAACAGAGGACCAAAATCTAAAGACCTTCTCTTGAGAAAAATGTGCGCGCGCGCACACACACACACACACACACACACACACACACACACACACACATGACCTTCTCCATAAATATTCAGGGCAGGGGAGATTTCCATGCTCTTCACAAGGCCCTGCTTGAGAGAGGTCATGAGGCGGACTCTTTCTGAATGGACCTTCAGTACTTTACCTGAGGGCCTGACACCAGGTGTGCACTTGGTGACTACAGAAGTGTGAAGATACAAGAACCTGGAAATGCAGGTAAAGGTAAGAACTGGGACAGAACAGGGGCTGTATCCAAAGCTTGCCTAGGGTGATATCATGCACGGCAGCTTCCACATCTTGAGAGTGGCTCTCAGCTCCCTCGTGCCAGGAAGTGCCAGCAGAACACATCTCACAAAGCAGACCCCAGCAAAGCAACTCTCAGAGGCAAGGGTACAATGGCAGAGGGAAATGAGGGTAACTGTCACACCAACCAGATAAATATGCGGTGCAATAAAACACCACAGTGGATGCTTACATTTAAAAGAAAAAAACTTATGGCAATGAAAGACACATTGCCAAGAATCCCCCTTGTTTCCAACACATTCATCCCATCATTCTTGCTGTTTCTGACACAGTTGGTGCTGTCTTCTTTCAAGACTATCTTTACTTGTGCTGTCATGATAGCCTTAGTGTCCTCAATTGATTGAAAACATTTACCCAGCGCGGTCATTTTGACTTTGAGGAAGAGCCAGAAGTCACACAGTGCCAAATCTGGTGAATAAGGTGGATGAGGACCCACTGTCATGTTTTACAAATGACAGGGAATATTTTAAGGAAGATTGATGGCAATACATCTTTAACTGTATTACATTTTAAAAATGTAAACATGCACGGTATTTTTTGACCCACCCTGTATGAGTGTTGATATGAAGAACACGTCCTCTCTCCAGCACCACTGTGTCACCAGCGGGACTGTCCTGCCCGTGGAGCCAGATGTGAACACA